AAAACCCTTTTTTTTTTTTTCTTTCCCCACCCCCGGGGGGGGGGGGGGCCCCCCCCCCCCCCCCCCCCCCCCCCGCCTTCACTCTGTAGACACTCCCCTGTCGCCCCTCGTCAATCCCCCCCCTCGAACTTCTCCTCCCTCCTCCTCGCTCGCACCCCCACCCCAACTGTCATCACACCTTCCTGATCACCTTTCTTCCCGTCCATTCCCACCTGCGGGTCCCCCTCCTCCCGACCCCCTCCTCCCGACCCCCTCCCCCTAACCCCCACCCCTCCCTCTCCCCACCGCCTAACTTCAACCCACCATGTCCTTGCAGGACTCCATGACGTTGCTCAACAACCACCGCCACCGCATCCCCCTCCGCCGCGAGCAGATTCACGCCCTCGCCAATGCTCTCCATGCGCTCAAGCACACCCTGGGCCCGGAAAAGGCCCAGCAGACCACCGTGTACACCGCCATCCTCCGCCTCCTCAAAGCCCACGTGTCTCCCCTCCCGACCGCCTCCGTCTCGTTTGCCCAGGTCCAGGCCTCGCGCCTGCAAGGCTGGGCCGAGCGCTTCCTCGCCGAGGGGAAGGAACTCCCGAAGGAGATCTCGGACGCCATTGCCCAGGGCCTCGTCTTCGGCTTTGATCCACGCACCGGCCTCAGAATACCGCGCCACCAGCAGGACGAGCTTCTTCGCGCACAGCAACAACGAGAGCGCGATGAAATGATGCACGAGAGGGAACGCCTGCGTCTCCTCCAGGCCGACTTTACAAAGGCGAAGGACGGCACCAGAGCCAGGCCGGAGAACGTCGCCCCGGATCCCGTCCATTTAATTCCGTGGGAGGAGAGGGTATTACCGGTCCCCACCGGAACCGTCGCCGCACTGTATCTGCCGAAATTGGACATAGAGACCTTGAATCGGGAGAGGTTTCGCTCACTGCGCAATCGCACGGATCAGATACAGAAGGAGGTTTCCCACGCGCTTGCCGAACATGCGAATGGAACACACGTCTTGAAGCCGCGAATCGCCGCACTCTTGGAAACCCGCCAAAGACATGTCTCATTGCTTGACTTGCAGCGGAAGATGCGCGTAAACATCTGGGAAGAACATCGCATGGTAGAAAACGGCCGCCGCAGTTCCAAGCTGAGGGGTCGCATATTGAAGCAACTGCAGCGCGAGTTTGAAAAGGTCGAAAGGGCTCGTATGCGCCAGCTGGAGGTTGAAGAAAAAGAGGCACGCCGGAAGCGTCAGGCCTGGGTCAATGCTATGAACGATCACTTGAACAAGTTTCGCAGCTACCATCGCGATGTGGTACGGCGAGGCGTGCGTGCGATTACGAAAGCGGTTCTGAAATACCATGAAGAGTATGCGCGAAATGCAAGCAGGGCCGAGCGGGAAGCTGAGAAGGCCCGTATCCAGGCCCTGAAAGACGACGATGAAGAGGGTTATCTAGAGCTTGTGCGAAAGACAAAGAACACTCGAGTGCTAGAGCTTTTGGACCAGACTGACAAGTATCTCAAGCAACTGGGTGCTGTCGTGAAGGAAGAGCGAGTCAGGAGCGGAGTTGTCGAATACGAGAACAATAACGATGAAAAGAGCGGAGCCCGTCATGACTACTATGGGATAGCACATGCCATCAAGGAGGAAGTCGATGAACAATCTTCATTGCTGGTCGGCGGAGTACTGAAGGAGTACCAGCTGCATGGGATTCAGTGGATGGTGAGTCTTTACAATAATCGCCTTAATGGTATCCTCGCAGATGAAATGGGTCTGGGAAAAACCATTCAAACTCTTGGCCTGATTGCACATCTCATGGAGCGAAAGGACAATCCAGGTCCGTATCTGATCATTGTCCCACTTTCGACAATTAGCAACTGGGAGTTGGAATTTGCCAGGTGGGCTCCAGCGGTTCGCGTTGTCGTTTTCAAAGGCGACGCCAAGGCACGAAAACGGTTGTACGAAGAGGTCATCGAAAAGAAAAGCTTCAACGTCTGCTTGGTGACTTACGAGTACGTCGTCCGAGGAAAGAATTTCCTCAAGCGTATAGAATGGCAACATCTTATCATAGATGAGGGGCATCGTATAAAAAATCATGAAAGCCGCCTCAGCTCCGTTCTTCATGACCATTACAGAAGTCGGAATCGGCTTTTGCTCACTGGAACACCACTCCAGAATTCTCTCACAGAGCTCTGGGCATTGTTGAATTTCCTGCTACCAAACGTTTTCAAGAGTGCCGAGTCGTTTGAGAGTTGGTTCGCTGCTCCTTTCGCACAAATGGGAGTTGGAAATATAAGCACGACCGAGCAACAGGCACAACTGACGGAAGAAGAGAGTCTCCTTATTATTCGACGATTGCACCAAGTGCTTCGGCCTTTTCTTTTGCGACGGATGAAAGATGATGTCTTGAGGATGGGTGAGCAGCTCCCGGAAAAGCAAGAACACATACTTTTGTGTGAGATGTCCGCTTGGCAGCGCCACATGTACAGAAGGATCGTCAAGTCAGAACGAGTCCTTTTCACCGACAGCCACGGGAGGCATCGGTACGATAAGCTTTCAAATCCGGCTGTGCAGCTGCGGAAATGCGTGAACCACCCGTATTTGTTCTTCCAAGACCATGCAAGTCGGCTTGTTGACACTCCAGAGTTGTGGAGAGCCTCTGGCAAGTTTGACATGCTCGACTCTATTATTACAAAGTTGCTTCGAACGGATCATCGGATCTTGGTGTTCAACCAAATGACGAAAGTCGTCGACCTTCAAGAGAGGTTGTTGCGATACAGGAACATTCCGTTTTACCGTCTTGACGGTAGTACAAACACAGACGACCGTAAGCAGATGGTCAATGACTTCAATAAGCACGACTCAGATGTGCATGTCTTCTTGCTCACTACGCGGGCTGGTGGCCTTGGTGTCAACCTGCAAACGGCTGACACCGTCATCATTTTTGACAGTGATTGGAACCCTTCAATGGATCAACAAGCTCAGGATAGGGCGCATCGAATTGGTCAGAGAAGGGAGGTTCTCGTTTTGAGGATGCTAACGGCAAAGTCTATTGAAGAAGATGTTATGGAAAGGGCTTCATTCAAAAGAGGACTAGAGAAGAAGATTATTCGAGCCGGTATGTTTGATGAGCAAAGCAAAGACTCTGAGAGGCAAGCGATGCTCCGGGAGCTCCTACGGGTGGACGGCCCTGTGAGTGAGGATGAGAATGAAGATGGACTCCCAACTGAGGAAGAGATAAATAGGCTACTGGCAAGGAGTGAAGAAGAGTTTGGAATATTTGAGGAGATAGACGTCGAGAGGGTGGAAGAAATTTCTCATCGTGCGCGCCTCCTCATCGAGAAAGAAATACCAGAATGGGCGACCAAGGTACCGCAGGCTCTGAAGGACAAGGCGAATTCTTCGGGTGCTGGGAACTGGAACACGATGCCTGCTGGATTCGATTTAAGTTCATTGAACGAGCCAAAGAAGAAGCGTGCCGCGGCGACAAACGTTAGCTACGGCTTTGACCAATTGACCGAACGACAATACATCAAGCTGATGGAACGTTCGGAAGCCGGCGAGGACATACGACTATCTGAAGAAGCAGCGGCTGTTATGAGCCGGAAACGAGGCAAACGAAAGAGAAAGGGATCGGCAACATTGCCGAAAGATGATGAGGACCAGGATTATGATGGGAATGATGACTCACGTGTGGACAGCGAGGCTGACACAGGCACTCTGGGATCGCGTCCACAAGGTTCTCCAAGAATGGAAGACATGGTTGCCTCTAAGACACTTAGCGCAGACCTGAAACCTTTCGACGACGAGATGACCGAGGGGGGCAATGGAACTTGTGGGGAACAGAGCTTTGCGCCGTCCGGAACTGAGGACATGATTATCGAGGATGACGATGACGATGACGCAGATGTGGTAGACAAAGACATGAGCATTCCGAGACATAGCGGGTCAGAAGGTCCGACAGCTCGGTCTCGGTCGGAGGAGCCGGACAGCGAGACGTCAGAGGAGGGTGAGATGGACCGGTACTCTTCGCGAGCTGTATCTGGACGAGGAAAGGCGACCTCCCAAGAATGGTCCGAGGGGCCGAAACAGCGAAAGCGATTGAAACGCGGGACAGAGATAAAGCGGCGCGGGCGGGCTGGTCGTCGGAGTGTGGCGCAGAAACGCAAGATGGATCTGGAGGACTCTGGAATGGACCGCAGCGATGCAAGCGACGATAGCCCTCTTGTGCGTCCGTATCGGCGGAAGCGAAGGATCCGGGGCACAGAGTCAGGGACGCGCAAGCGACTTAAGGCGAGTGATACGGAGGAGGAGGGGGAGTTGGACGCAGAGAAAGAGGAACAAAGTGGTTCAAATGAGGGGATCATGCGGCGTGGGAGTTCCGGACGAATTCCGCGGATCCGATCTGAGACGGTCGAGAGGAGTTCGAAGAAGCGCGGAGACACGAAACGGACAGGAGCAGCCGAAGCGTCGGAGAATGGAGAGATCCAAGAAGGTAAGCGGATGGGGGATGAAGAGGACGGGGAAATCCGAGAAGAAGGCGAGCTATCTGATTCGAAACCGCGGGAAACAAAAGAAAACAAAGCAGTGTTGGAGCCGCGGGTTCCGCGGGTGCCCCGAGTTCCTCGCAAGCCCAAGGCTGTGGAGAAACGAGGGAGCATTGTTGGAGCACAAGTGGCACCGAATGTAGCGTTGATTCCGCCACCGATTGCCGGGCCCGGGGCACTGATTCATCCAATGCGAAGTACGGTGCCGACGATTGGGAGACCGCCGGTGAGAGGGGTGCCGCCAATGGTGCAGAGACCGCTCGTCGGGCACGGGATGGGACGCGGGAGAATTATGCCCCAACACGCCGGGTGGATGACAGGGCGATATGCAGCAGGGAATGCAGTGGGGATGGCCGCCATGGAAGGGGAGAAGGAGGCGATGCGGGCGAGAAAGTTGGCGGAAGAGGAGGAAAGTAGGAAGAAGCTGGAGCAGGAGAAGCAAGAGCGAGAAAGGGAGCGAGAGAGGGAGCGCGAGAGGGAGCGCGAGAGGGAACGCGAAACAGAACGAGAAAAGGAACGAGAAAAGGAACGAGAAAAGGAACGCGAAAAGGAACGCCAAAGAGAACAAGAGAGAGAACGGGAAAGGGAAAGGCAAAGGGAAAGGGAAAGAGAGGGCGAGAGGGAAAGACAACGAGAGAGGGAGCGCGAAAAAGAAAAGGAAAAGGAGCGAGCGAAGCAGGTCGAAGTCGAGAAGGAGAGAGAAAAAGAGGAACAAGTTGCAAAGGCAAGGGAGGCGGCGGAGATGGTGGAGATGGAAGAGGGGGAGGCCGGTGAAGAAGAGGAAGAAGGGGAAATTGATGAGGAGGAAGGGGAGATAGTGGAAGACTGCTAGTGTAATTTGTGTAAAGGGAAACTTACAGTGTGTATATTTGGAATGCGGCGGGTTCTGTAATTGGTTCTGTAATAAGCGGGTGGAGGCGGATGAACGCGCCAAAAGAAAAGCAAAAGAGGCCAAAGTGCGGCGACGTGAAAAACACCTCAACACCGCCTGTCCCGCCATTCGCTGTTAACTCTTTCCCCCCACTGCCGCCACCACTTGCTACCCCCCACCTGCCCCCTCCTCGTTCCTCCTCGTGCTTTCCCCCCGCCATCCGTACCGCCCCCCTACCCCCCCTTCATTCCGCAACTATGGCCGACGACAACGCCCCCTCTTCCGCCCCCGCGCCCCAGCCGCAGGCTCCCGTCCCCGCCCCGGTCCCTCCCGCCGCTGCCGCTGCCGCCGCCGCGTACAATCCCATGGCCCCCCAGTCCCACCTCATGCAACAGCAGACTCGCCAGGCCCAGCTGCAGCAGCAGCACAACCTCCAGGAACTCACGGCCAAGCTCAGCCAGTTCTGGCTCGAGCAGATGACCGAGGTCCAGCAGGCCACCGACTTCAAGAACCATCTCCTCCCGCTCGCACGCATCAAGAAGATCATGAAGTCCGACGAGGACGTCCGCATGATCTCCGCCGAGGCCCCCGTCCTCTTCGCAAAGGCCTGCGAGATGTTCATCCTCGAGCTCACGCATCGCGCCTGGGCCCAGACCGAGGAGGCTAAGAGACGCACCCTGCAGAGAAGCGACATCTCCGCCGCCATTCAGAAAACCGACATCTTTGACTTCCTTATCGACATCGTCCCGCGTGACGATCCCAAAAAGGACGACGTCCGCCCCGTCACCGGCGCCGTTGACCAGACCCAGATGCCGTACTACACCATGGCCAACATGCCCGCCTATGGCATGCCGCCGCAGGTCAACCCGGCCGCGACCGACACCTCAGCCGCCATGATGTATTCGCACAACGCACAGGGCGTGTACGCTAGCGCAGGGTATGCAAATAACATCGCCTACCAACCAGGCATGGTCAACCCACAGTACATGCGCATGCAGCAGCCCGTCATGTACGCCACCCCGGGCGCATACGGCGCCCAATATCTCGCCGGGGGAACCGCCCAAGATCAACAGCAACCTCCTCAGTCGTGATCCGGATGCCGGGCCTTGCTTGTCCCACCATCCCTTTACCATTCCATTTTCTTTTTTGCCCTCACCAAACTTCTTCCCCCTGGCCTTACATGTCACGATCTCGCCAGCTGTTTGCTCCTGTTCCCGAGATCGCGCCTCCCGCCTTTGTATAGCTCCAGTCGTCACCTCGCACGCAATCCAGATTCACGCACGTTTGCTCGGCTTTCGCAACAAGAACATTATCCATGCTCCCTTTTTGCTCATACTTTTGCTCCTGGCGTCGCTGCTAGCTGCCCCAGCTGCTTGCCGTCTTGCTCCTTGCGAGGCGTTTTCTTTACCCTGTTTGCACATAGCAATTCACCGCCACTGCTGTTGCGTCAAATCCTCGTAAACCCGTGTTTCGTTTCCACTTCCCTGTGTAGCGCTCTCTTTTTCTTGTTTTTTTGGTACCTCTTGTCAACTGCAGCATCCTGCTCACATCATGTACCTTTGAAACTTTGGTCTCGCACTCAGAAGACGTCGTGGTTGAAGAATCTCCGGTTTCCGGCATCCATCAACCGAAGGAAGCATTACTTCTTCTGAGTTCGTCGCCCACCTGAGGTGGTACCATAACATAAACTCTGCTGAGGGTGCCGATAGGCTTGCATGCCACATTCCCCACCTCCCCAGCACCGACGGGTGCTTTCCTTTCCACCTTGCCTTCAACACAAATACCATCGCCAAGGCGACCACCTAGACGGGCCTTACAATCTTTCCCCATTCCAGCATCTCTTGCTGTCGGTTGAGGGGTATGGGAGCAATCAAGGGTATTCGGTATGGCTGTGCAGAGTCGGGATTTCTCTGCTTTCAAAGTGAGAGCAGGCTTGTTCTAGACATGGTGAAAATGAGCGAGAACACTGGAGACTGCACGTGCAGCCGAGGGAAATATAGGGGGTTGCATGGACGCCCCAAATGTTCTAGGTCTGCGAGCCTTCGTCATGAGAGGCCGTCTGATGACATGAAGTCCAAGGTGCAGTCAGTACTTCAGACGGACAGAACAAGGGCCTGCATCCCTCCCGAATAGCTTGAGAACAGCTGGGCCGTCTTGTCCTGCCACTGAGGAACTGTGGACGTGTTGACAGCCGCCAGATGCTCTGAGCTTCGCCACGGACATGGGCGTCGTGAATGAGGGTGAGGGCGCGGGGAGGTAGGCGTGAGTCAGACATGGTGAAGACTACATGAGAGAAGTGGAAGAGCTAGGGTGTTCGTAGCCTGGCTGGGTGGGGACCGAGAGTGGCAACTGGCTGCCGCTGGTGACCGTTCGATTGGAGACTACACTTATTTCTAGGCTTAGTACAGGCGGATGTCGAGCAAAGTTGTGACGGGCGGCGAGAGACTTGAGCAACAGCTCGCCGCCACTTGTTGTTCCAAGAAGCTCCGTCTTCTTGACGAAGCACGTTGTGCCAATTTACGAATCAAAAATTTGTCATTTTTCCCTCATTCGCTCATCCACACCCCTCCCTCTTGACCATACAGCTCACAGAACCCCTCCTCTCGCACCCCCTCCCCCAACCGGTTGTGACTCACCGCGCTCCCCTGGACTCCGCCTATTTTGCACTGGCAATCCTTTTGTTCTCGACTATTGTCAGCCCCTGGGATGACGTCCAATACCCCTCAGAGTGGTGTCTCTGCTCAGCTCGAGCATCTCCAGGCGAGATACGTCGGTACTGGTCATCCGGGTACAACACAACAGTAAGTCGACCCCTTTTTTCATACACTTGCCATCAAACAACATCTCTTCCAAGTATACTGACTCCACCTATGTTGCATATTTGTGTTTCTCTCTACAGTGAGTGGGCTACCAATCAGCATAGAGACTCTATTGCCTCATATCTAGCCCACCCTTGGATGTTGGAGTATTTCTCTGTCGCTGAAGGAGCTTCCGTTGGTCGCATAAAACACAACTTGCTTGAGAAGATGCATCGCCCATGTGGTGAACCACCCCAGAGACAAAACATTTTAAAGCGCAAAATAGACGAGATCTCTAAATCATCCGCTGCGCAAGAGTGATTTACTCACAGCACGAAGTTTCACAACAGAACTATGGCGAAGCTCGCATACTTTTCACGATAGCATATCCAGCCCCACAACTTGTCTGACAGTCTTGGGCTGACAAGCAGTCCTTCCACGAGTCGCCAGTACTCGGACAAATTTTCAAACTGGGAGTCGCGGCGGAGAGGACCGCTATAAGCAGCCCAGAGACTCTCAAGAAAATCGGGATGGTCAGTTGATGCATTATCTGTGTCAACATACGGCCCCACGGACAAAGGCTTCATGATAGTTGGTGTTGAACGATGCCTAACTGTGAGTTTTATATGATGCGACCCGTGCGGCCAGTGTGCTCAAAACAAATCCTGCGGCGAAATGGTTGCCCCCACCCACATGAAAGCTATTTCACCAATCGTGATTGCTCTTCACAATCAAAAGTACATGGTGGAGATGCAGGGTTTCCCAAATTCATAGAAAGGATTTAGAATGCCCTCGGCTTATCTCGTGGGATGGTTCCACAACTCTACTCCTAAGCGCTTCAAGGCTCTAGTCAGCTGGGAACGTTAAGCAAATTTATTGTGAAGGCCACTGTGCGGGCCCTCCCCGGAAGATCGTTGCCCTGCGAGGCCCGCTTTACTCTTGTCGCTTTTGAGGCGCATTCGCTGCATCCAAAGCGACTGAGCGAGCGAGTACACTCTAGAGTGCAGGCAGCTTGGCGAATTTCATTCGAGAGGGTGTGCTATCCCCTAGCCGGCGCTTTTTGTCTTCAAGATAAGCGGCAAATTTCCTTCGAAGAAAGTCACTTGTCCAGGGACTTCGTCTCCTTCAAAGGCCAATATGTGCGTTGCAACACGATTCAAAAATGAAATATCATGCGAAACTATGACGGCGCAGCCTGCAAATGAAAGGAGCGCATCCTCAAGCGCGCGAATGAGGAAAGCGTCCGCATCGTTCGTCAACTCATCTTTGAACAGTTGAAAGAGGTGAAGAAAATTTCAGGTTAGCTTCATGTGAAAAACATAAACACAACACAAAACAGAAAGAGTTTCAATGACGTAAAGAAAGCAATGCAGTTTCCAGTCATACCTCCAAGGAGAACATAGGCTGAGTACAGCCCACTAGGCTGAGTACAGGCGGATGTCGGCTCACTGCTTCTGTTGGAACGTCACCAAATCGTCGCCTTGCGCACCCAATCCAGTTCCTGATCCAGTGCTCTCGACATTTTCATCATCAACGAAAATTGGAGATTCCTGGGGATCTCTACCGGGACCAGCACGTTCCAAAAGGAAAATAAATTAAAAAATGGAACCTCGTGTTTCCGTTTCGCTCTGAGTTTCAAGGTGAAATGCTAGCAATATATTTCAGGTTCTAAGTTGGATTAGAGAAACTCTTCCGTGGAGGGAAGACCGGGAACCAGTGCTCGATTTGAAATTAAACTGAGCAACTCAATAGACGCCAGATGCAGACATCCGGGAGCACATGAGACGTCCCATCCTGAGGCCATCTTGAAGCAGATGTGGAACAAAACGCATCATTCCAATCGCTCGCTGAAGAAGTGCAGAAGCGAATGCGATCGCCTCGTAAACACACATTTATGTCCAGATGAAGTAACTCTGGACAGGGAACTAGATTTTTGTTAAGAAACGCTCCTCTCTCAGACATCAGCGTCTGTATAATTCGCCCCCGACATGACCTGAACCCAATTTTGCCACATGTGCTGTTGGCAAAAGCTGGTTTTTCAAGTTCTAGTTTGTGGGAAGAGCGCATCTTTGCGGTGAATGAGATCCAAACCACCACGAGTCCTTGCGAAGACTCTCTTTGTTTGTGGCATCTCACGAGTGAAATCACGATTCGCAGATTATCTGTCCCCTTTTCCAACAAGCAATGTAGTTCTGGCCTGCTCGTGTCATCTGGATAAGTCCCTCATATCATGAGCGCATGGTAGCGAACTTCCAGAGACGAACCCGGACACGATCGAAGTAAATCTCAATGGGCAGCGACTTGCCAAGTTTTGCCACTCTTAACTGATATAGTGACCCTCTTCCGCGACCGCCACTTCTTTTCGGAGTGATGCCCACACCCCTGACAATCTCCACTCCACCATCAAGAACAGAGGACTTGCTAGCTCTGCTTCCCTAAATGTTTGGGATTGTGTTCAGTCGTACTTTGTATCTGGTACGTTCCTAACACTCACGCTCCACAGCTTATTGTTGTTGGCTATGATGGCAAAGGTGTACTTCACGCTCCAAATAACACTTTTCCAATAGCGAAACCTAAATGGAGCCTAATGCTCGTGCTCTGAACAACGAGCGATGTACTATAACTTCTGAGTCCTCTAGCAACCTGGGTGAATCTGACCTCGAAATCGGGTAGACTAAAGTTGACGTCTCAGATTTGCAATGCGACGGCTTCATGTTGTGTTGACGCAATACCTGAAGAAACCTGTCAAAACCACAAAGAGCTGCGACAGTGGATAGAAACGCCGCCATTGCCGTGAGCGTTGTGCCTTGCTCCTGGTCATTTGCACGAACAACCATGAGACAGGTGTGAGGCAGATGGCCTCTCGCGGGATAGTATCGCCTGCGAAACGAGGACGAATAGGTGTCGATTTCATTCGTGTGTTGCTCGCGATACAGTGTAAATGCTCGGGCCTCAAGCCAGAGTTGTTCGCAATGCTTATCTTTACGTAAATCCTTCAGGATGACCATTGTGTTTGTCACAGTGGGCTTCGGATTCTCACTCTGACATATTGCTGCTCCTGAATGTTAATACGATGAGAAGGAGAAGTGTACGCATTTTCTCCCACATCATGTTACAAATTCGAAGAACTCAAGAGCCGAACATAATGAACTCGCCGTTATTCTGTTGCATTTCGCGCAGCAATTCCATTGCACTGATCCCTAGTACGACCTTCGAAACGTTAGTCCAGCCACCCTTGTTCGCGCACGTACCTAAGGCTTTTCTTTCGAATACCGTCGGCCACAGTCCCAAGCCGCTTCCTCTCATCTAAGCTCCAATCGATTTTATGCTCCTCAAAGCTCTGGTTTATGTATTTTCCTTCATATCCATCAAGTACCAGAGCCCAATTTTCGTGCTGATTCACACTTTGCAGCTTGCTCGGTGCAAACCGTGCTTGGTCTGCAATCATGCCTGCACACCAATAGCGCAATTTGCTCTCGTCGTATTCCCCAGAAAGTGCCATTACAATGCCTTGCCTTGCAATAGCTCTTAACTGCACGTCACGTAGAACCACATGACCACTTTCAGTCTTTTTCACTCGTCCATTCCAATACTTGTCCGCTTTTTTTTCCTTCCATGACCACCACGGCGCAAATCGAAGCATTCTTGTAACCCGTAGAGGCTCTGTCAAGGTCTCATCGTTGACGCCTTTTTGCATTGCGATGCGATGATATTTTCCTATCGCCGCAAGCAAAATGCCCTTTCTGGTACATACATTGCACAAGTTTGCAATGGAATTCTGCACTCGCTCAGGTCCGTACCAAAGACTGCCCACGATAGCGGCCAGTAAAGCATCTAAGCCTCTTTCTCCGACCAAGAGCTCATGAGCGGTCCATACAAGAGAGACGGGCACAGCAATACCGATGAATAACTCGTGGGCGACATTGATGACGAAAGCGACATAGTACACACATCGGCCGCAACGACCATCAGAATTCTGGACGGCTCGGGTGAGAGCAGATGCTATTTGCATGCCTACGATGATAATCAGAAAAACAGCGGCTATCGTCCTCTCGGATTGGCCACTGGAGATAGTACTCATATTTGCGCTGTGAGTTTCGTCACCGGAAGGCGTGCGGAACAGACCTTCGAGCCCAGTGTGCCCTTGCCGAGGGACCAGCGAGGGACCAGCGATGGGCATATGACTATACCGTATATATATATATATACAATACAGCCCATCGCTAGCAGCGTCGCTGGCAATGAAAGTGATAACCTTCAACACTCGCTCCACTATTGCTCGAGAGGCTGAATACAGTAGAGCCCATTTGGTGGATGCCTCCTCCTAAACGGAAGATAGATGGTCGTTTACGGTTGGAGCTCCCGCGCACCCGAGATATAAGCGGTAGCGAGAGTACTCTTGACTATCTATCGAAAAGTAAACAAAGAAAGAACAATATCAGAGAATAGACATCTGAGGGAAGCCCAGGGAAGGGCGTCCTGACGGGGATGGGCGGGTGTTGTTGGTGGAATGGGGGAGGCGGTTTTGGGGAGCGCGCCGTTCGTGGTGAGGGTCGGCCGAGTGTTCTTCCCCCCCTTTTTCCCCGCAGCGCCCGTCGCCCTCTCTCTTTTATTTCTACGAAATTCCTTCCAGAAGCGTCCACGCGTCCGGCCCGGATTCCGCCGGGCCGTCCGCGTGCGCTTTTCTAAAATTCAAATAAAATCTCGGACTACAGAATAAAATCTCCCTCTACAGTAAAATGCAAATTTTCCCTAAAAATATCTCACAGTGGGCAAAAGAGAAATATACATAGCCGAGAAGTCACGAGACCCTCACCCGGCCGTCGGCGATATGTAGGACAGTGCACGCTCGGTCGAATGCCAGGTGTCGGCATGTCACTCGCTACTCCCTGGACAGCTTCACCCGCATACACAAGTGTATACAGACGCGGAGCGCAAAGCGGAGCCGAGTGTGAGAGCGATACGGAGACGGAGGCGTGCTAGACTGCTTGGCCTTGGGACAGCATATGCGCGAAGATAAGGCGCGACGCGGCGGTGACAGAAATACTACTATCAAAGTAGACCTGCAGCATCTCCATAGATATCCAGTCCAAACGATTCATGATCCAAGCGTCTGTGAATCCGAGTCCTAAAAGCTCATTGTACGCCCCGATTCGCGCGCTGTGTGAGGAATAAAAGAACCTTCTTGTCGGAACAGCACCAACACGCAGCAGCGACAATGACATGGCGGCGTTCAAATTTGCAGTCCCCAAGCGCGTTCCAGCTCGGAGGTTGAAGAAACCAGCATTTTCCGATCGCTGTGTCATCCACCTGAGCATCAACAGCCCGGGAGCATCCCATTCGGGATTGCGACGGTAGGAGAGTCGCAGAGGTCGTTGATAAGACTTCGCTTTGCGATGCGTCAGGGCCACATCCACGCTAGCATCCGTGACATCAATGTCTTCTGCTGCCACGTGTGCCACGGAAATTGAACTGCATTGAAAAATAAATGCGAAAACGACCATAGCGCAGGAGCCCACTTCCTCAACGACTTCGATGCCCAAGCTAAACTCTGCCACACGCATCGTGATTGCGGCCCTAATCTCGATTCGTTTTCGCGCTTCAGTTCGGTCGCGATCGGTCTTGTTCATGTACGCAGTAACCATGGCAGACACTAGCGGGGAACGCGTCGCAGATAGTAGTCCTTGAGTCTCATGGAAACGGGAGACAGCGCTGATATAATTGCGAACCGAGCTTGGACCTACCCTACCTTCCAGGTACATGTAACCTAGGAAAGCGGGCACGTCCCCATCATTTGCAGGCAGCGGATCTCGACCGTTTTGATCACAGAACACCAACCACTTCTTAATCTAACTGCTCCTGTTTGCCCACGTCTGCGCCTTCCACCCATGCGACACCAGCAGCTCCGCCGCCACCTCTGCACCCCCCGTCTCCCCTTCCATCCCCGTCCTGGCCAGCACCGCATCCCGGATCCCCGCCGTCCACAACTGCGCTACCCTACCCTTGCCACCACTAATTCCCATGCGGCGTTCACTGGTCGTGAGCTTTGAAGTGTGGTATAACTACCTTCGTCCCGACCACTCGGAACGAGGGGGGTTAGAGGTAAGGGAGCGCGCGACGCTGGGTAACCCACGCGAGCGCGAACCGTACGGAAGGACTCGAAAAGAGGGAAGGCTCACGTGGCCGGTGACGCGCAGCCGGTCGGTGGTGTCAGATCCGGACGGCCGGTCACGGGTTAGAAGCCTGAGACTTAGAGGTAAAACCGGACGGAGTTAGCAAAAAGCCGTAAAGGGAAGGGAGGCGAGTCTGCCCCCGTTTACTGGAACGGGGCAGGTGCCCCCGGTCTTAACCCCTAAGTGGGACGCCAGGACACCTGTCCCGCTACAGTAGCTGTTACTTACTGTATACCAGCTACTGTGCTAAATTGGCTAATTTGTGCCATTAACTACTAATTACTAATTACTTACCGTTCGGATCCTACACGTGTAACCAGCGGGTACTACTGTACTCCGCACCGGCCGTGTGCTGTAAATATAACTCCTTACAGTTCTTCTCGCGCTTACAGCCCATCGTACTGTATCCCGGGGCGGCAGCGGTGGCGCCGTTGCCTTCGCGCTGTTGTACTACAGACCCCCTTCCTTACTTCGCGACACGTCCCCGTCGCGGCGGGTTAAAATCCCTGCCAGCCGTGACGGTCTCCTATCCCGAACGGAGACCATGCGTCGGCCGCGGAGACGCGGCCGTACAGTAGTCACCTTCCTCGAGTCCTCAAACCCGCATGCACACCCGCAGCGGCGGTCATCTCCCGACCCGCACGGAGGAGTTCAGCGCTCCAGCGGTTCGCGGTTCCATCCGCGGTACGCCACCGTTCGGATTGGGCGGCTTCAGCCTGCGCCGGGTCATCGAACAACCGGCGCAAAGAAGCGTTTTTCCAGGACCCCCCCGGAGGGCTGGCCATTTTTCCAAGAATTCCCCTTCGATTTCCTCCAAAACCCCACGGGTACGCCCCCGCCAGCCCCGCACCGGTACGTCTCCGACCTTTCCCGGTGCGTGCGGTACCTCTGTCGGCCAAAACAGAGAGCGAAAACCGCACGGTAGTCCCTTTCCCGAACGGTTCCTATTTGGAAACTAATAGAAACTGTAAAAAACAGTCAGAAACCGCATAAACACGTTTCTGTCTCCAAATACTCCCAGGTCGGCGACGACCTCAGGAGTCTGGAACCGTTCTCGGATATGGGCTACGATTTTTATTCGCCCTTCTAGAGGGGAAATCGTAGCCCTTCTTCCCGTACAGTATTCCGTTGAAGAACCGAGCGGGAACTCGGGTTTACAGGTACAGCGGACGAACCCGCTGTACCTTCAACCGTCCGGATAGGCTTGCCGTTGCCGTGGGGTGTCTTCCCCCGGCGCCGGGCATCATCAAACCGGCGCCAAAGAAGCGATTTTCCCCCACCCCCCCGGAGGGCTGGCCGTTTTTCCAAAAATGGCGCTCCTTCACCCGCGAGACAGCGGGGTGTGTGACCGCCAGCCTGTCCGTGCGGTCAGTGGGGAGCTCCCAGCGGCGGTACGCTCTGCCGTTCGTCCAAAACCGGTCGGTAAGTCCTGCCATTGTCACTTTCCGCGGAGGCCCCGATTTGGAAACGAAAGGAAACTGTAAAAAACGAGCAGAAACAGCCGTTTTACAGTTCCGGTTTCCAAATCCGCTTGGGCCTTCCCAAAGTCGGATTTTCCGTCTTGGGACCTCCGGACGCGGGCGAACCCGGGGAATGCAATGCCGTGAACGGGAGGGGGCTACGATTTTTTCCCATTCTTCTAGGAGGAAAAACGTAGCCCCCTTTTGGGCTTAATTAAAAGCCGGCGACCGGAGTCGCCTCCTTGCCGTCCAGGGCCCTCTGCGCCGGGTTAATCCGGCGCGGGGCAGCGGTAGCGCGCGGTTGCCCACGCGCTCTTGCGGTGGCGGGTTACCGCGACGGGTGCGGCTTGTGGCCTACCCCCGGGGTCGCCCGTCGGGGTGAGATCTTCCCGACCGCCTGGTCGGGGGTGCCGCTGCGGGTTTCCATCCGCGCTACCATGTCGGGTTGACGCGTACCGCGGCCCGACGGGCGGGCGACCGCACTATCGTCGTGACGGGTCATTGCGGGGGCGGGTTCCCGTTCCCCCCGCAACACCCGGTGCGCGTCCCCATTACCGGCTTGGGGCGGAACCGGCCTTTTCCTTGGTAATTTCCGCCTGCTTTTTCCTTGCGGCGGGTGGTTTCTCGGCGGTTTGACGAGCTCCGATTGGGTACCCCCCGAGGATCGGAGGCGTCTTGAACCGCCGCCGTGGTCCAGCGGCCACACGTGCCGGGCGGTGTATGCCGCTCGCGCAACTCGTGGTCCACAGTGCCCTGGAGCCCCGGCGAGGTCGTGCCCATACAGTATTTACGCGGCTGGGTTCCGTCTCTCGGCGGCGGGTATGCACCGGGGCGCCAAGCCGTTTGACCACCGCCGCGTCACGTCGTCCTGCGGGCGGGTCAGCTTCCCCCCCCCGCCGGTCCATCCGGTACGGCTCGGACGGTGGCACGCAGGGGATCCGCGTGCGCCGTAAACGGGTGGTGGCCGTCTGGAGGAGACCCGCGGCGGAGTCGCCCCCCATCCGCGCCGGGTATTCCGGTGCGGGGTTTGGGGTGGCGCACGCGGGGTTACGCGTGCGTCGGTGGCGACCTCGCCCCCTCCTGCGCCGGGTCCTCCGGCGCGGGGTTTGCAGTGACGCGCGCGGGGTTTCGCGTGCGTCCGTGGCGATTGGCCGCCTCCTGCGCCGGGTCTTCCGGCGCGGGGTGGGCGGTGACGCACGCGGGGTTCCGCGTGCGTCGGTGGCGACCTCGCCCCCCCCTGCGCCGGGTCTTCCGGCTCTGGGTGGGCGGTGACGCACGCGGGGTTCCGCGTGCGTCTGTGGCGACCTCGCCCCCTCCTGCGCCGGGTCTTCCGGCGCGGGGTGGGCGGTGACGTGCGCGGGGTTCCGCGTGCGTCTGTG